GATGACATGGGGGTATGGGAAATCAGCTGTACAAAACCAGCAAATATTGAAGAATATGCCCAAGAGAAGGTAGCTATGCCGTCTGATGAGGTCTGAAGAGCTAATTGGGGATGCACAAAGTGATCCAGAGAGCTTTCTAAGATGAGTAAAGAGGGCTGGGGCAGCAGACAGGATAACTAGGAGCCCATAAAGAGTCCAGTATAATATGACCTTGAACAAAGCAAACAATTTTGAGGTTTTCAAGATGTGAATTGGGATTTTTCAAATGGACTCACTGCTTCCCGTTCAGCAGCAATTGCCAGGACATTTGCATCATACAACGTTGCTCTGAGCAGAAGAAAAACTGACAAATTGTGGCACAAACCAGAAAATGATTTAAACTCCTCCCCATTCACTGTCACCTGTGAGTGTCATCAAAGCCCCATTTAACACTTCTTTCTAAGGAGGCTGTTCAGAAAGCTTGCCTTACTTTTGAGCTCTCATCCACTCCATGGGCTGCCTAGAGACTCCAGCCCCATGCAGCTCGCTGCAGCTTAGCATTTGTTGCATCTTGGATTCACTTTCCAGTTCACACGCGTGGGCTTTTCAAGCCCATTAGCATTCATTTTCCAAGGAGGATTTTTTGACAGGCAGCAGCAAACGATTTAATTAAAATCCAAATATTTTACATCTGCTGCATCCCCTCCATTGAGTCATTTTACTACAACAGCCCCCTGACTACTTCCCCACCCCAAATATTTCTGTCTGCTGAAAGCATATCCAGCAACCTGTCAATCCGATTCTGGCCTCCCAGCAATTTTACACTGGGGTTAGCCCTTGACGTTAGCAAAATTCCTCCTTGTTCACACCAGTGTAAGTCGGATCTGAAGTAGGCCCTCAGTACTGTATTCTTCTCTCTTAATATTTGGCATTTTGTTTTCTTCAGAAATTAAATTTACAGGTCAGTCACTGGCAGGATTTCCATATTCTCTCACATACCATGTGCCTCCAAGTCACTCATGCACATGCATATGCACACACACATACATATGCTCATGCACACGCCCATGCACCTGCACCTGCACATGCACCTGCACCTGCTTATGCACACGCACACGCACATGCACATGCACCTGCACCTGCACACACACCTGCTTATGCACATGCACACACACACACATGCACATGCACCTTCTTTTGGGAAGGCAAAATGAACAAAGAAGACTTTTTCGAGAATCATGGCTGTGTTTTGCCGACAGAAACAGAGCATGCTCTGCAGCATCAGCAAAAGCTGCCGTGTTCACTCTTTCACAGCTTCTGCCAAGTTGGCATCAGCTTTTGTATGCTCAGTCAACAGCTGCTGCCAATTCAGCAGCGCCTCTGAGGGGGTTAACACCACAGCTCTGACCCTGAGCAGTGAAGTCCTCCCCTCCCTGTCCTGGGCCAGCAGGGAGAGAGACGGCGGACACTGGACAACCATTCCAGGTCTCCATGTTTCCTTCAGTCCAGTGCAGGAACTCAGCTTCCCCTCTTAAGATCTGGACTCCAATTTTGGAGGGCTGATTTGTGGGGATAGGGTGCATAGGTATGTCAGTCAATGAAGTACCTTCCTCCGTCTTTTGCAAGCCAGTGCAGTGTTTTCCCCTCTCTTCTCTCCCAAGACCTTGGTGGTATGTGAATTTTCAAAGAGCGCTGTCAGCAGGTCAAGCAGCTATTAGGAATGATGGAAAACGAATGCCCTGAGATGTACATAACTCTGCTAGGTGGATTTATGAAGGTTAACGATAACCTCTTGCTTTCCTTGTATGATCAATGACTTGCAATGGATCTTCTTTGCCTGCCTCCTTCTCGTGGAGGGCACAATTCGAAGCAGGACTCCGGCGTCTCTGCTTTTGCAGTCACCAGGAAGTCTTGTCCTCTCCCCCTGCCCCTTTCTCCATTAACTTCTCTCTGGGACGTATTTGCAAAAGCCCTTCTTATGTCCTCTGACCTTAGCTCTCTTTGCTTCTCCTTTGCTCGCTTTAACTGACTCAGGATGAATTTGCTTGATGGCCTCCGCCTATCCCCAGATCTTTGAGCAGCCTCCGGAGAGTCCCGATCTGCTGATTCTTATTCCCAGCACTGAACTGGAGTCAGCTGCACCTTGAGGAGAGATAGGGGTGTTTGGGATGGCGCAGACTTCTCCCACGCTCGGGGGCAAAGGTGTTATCTCTTGCTCCCCTTGCATCTCCGCCGGTAGCTTTTACTTAATCCCTCCCCTTGCTGTGTCCCACTTGCTTCCTGCATCCTGGGAGCCCAGTCCTGGTTCTTCTGACTAAGCGACTGCCAGCTCCTCTATTGGTCTCAAGAGCAGAATTGGGTTTCCAAAGAGCCACAGACTAGATGACACCACAGGGCCAAATCCTGTCCTGAGACAGATGGAAGCACTGGTGGGGGGAGCTGAGTGGAGAAAAGTGGGAGCTTAATGCACTCCTGAAGCGGCAGGACATGGGTCTTGCAGCTCTCAGGAGCTGGCTAAGGAGCAGAGCCTGCTGCCTGGGGGGCACAAGCCCCCGGTCCTTACATTGGCATGTGTAGTGTGCACTGACCCCATCGGACTGTTTCTGCCCCTGCCCGAGGGACATTATCCTCTGCGCCAAAGACCCGGCAGCCCCACTCAGGCGATGCGACCCTAATGCACTGTGACAGCTTGGGGTCCATCTGGGCTTGATGCCCTTGCAGTCCGGATGTAGGGGCCAGAGCATGTCCCCGATTGCCAGGCTGGATGTACCAGATGGGGACAGGCGTCAGCCGGGAGCATTGCCACTTCGTGAATACACAGACGTTGCATGGGTAAAGTGCCCCTGTGATAAAGGACCTTCAAGCTGCATGAACCCGAGTGTTGGGGCCACGGTGTGATGGGGATTAGCCAATATATCCGCAGTGAATACGTTGGCCGTGGCTATTCTGCTTGCCACATCGGATGTTTGCATTGTAGCCAAATTGAATTGCAAAGTGTGTGTGCACTTTGATCTGGGGCTTTTTTGCTTCTCCAGCACTGAACGGGGAACTGATTTTGCCTCTTGCTTTGAAAGCAGCTAACACATCTGGGAGTGATTGTGGCAGCATCTTTCCTAAGCATTGCATTGTATGGAATAGGCTGACTACCTTCCCGGTACAGACCCCACATTTACTCACTCAGGCATTTCTGTGACCTCATTCCTCTCTTATTTTCTTATGGCAGAGTAGACACAGGGATATTAAGCAGTAAGGAAAGGCCAGGGAGACTGGGAGACAGAGACTGGATGCTGAATTACCAGTAGGCGACCTGAGCTTGCAGCTGTTTGGAAGGTGGGCAGTCGCTGGGCGGTCTTCCTGCTATGCACACCTCCAGGTATATTTTTATAGAGGAAGAGGAGTGAGACCATCACTGGTAGAAAATGACCAAAACAGCCAGTCACAAGAGCTCTGTGGCCTCAAGAGGTTTGTACACAGCTGGAGACATATCCTCCAAACACTCTGTAGAGATACCGCCATGAGGTCGGTTTTGGCCCAGGTGGTTTTACTTACTTGGCAGGGGAGCCGCTCTTCTTCTCAGCCTTGAATGACTCGGGATAGTTAAAAGGTGAGGACCTGTCCCTTGCACTGTGGGCAGGCTGACTCCCGTGAGAGTCTACAAATGCCTCCAAATGCGAGGATCTTGGCTACATGATGTGTGGGGATGGGGGATTGCTTTAGTGCTTTCCCTCTAGCTTGCTCTTTCAGCCTTTTGGCTAAGTGCAAGCAAGACCAGAGGGCATCTGAATACCAAGGTCTCCGGGTTTGGGGTTTGCATGTAGGATGCCTGCCTTGGATTTGGGAGTATCTGATGCCCCAGGCCGGAGTCTGGGAGGAAGTATACTTGCCGGTGGTAGCGCCGCACAGCCTGGTACAATTGAGCTGTGCTCAGGATGGCAGCGCTGCGGTATTATTTCCAAATCTATAAACGTTGCTTTTTTCTCCTCCATCACGACAAAGATAATCCTTTGCCTCTAAGCACCTTTCATGCAGCATGTTGACAGGCGCCATGCCCCATCACCACTCCCCCTGGCCCTCCACGAGATCACTTCATTGCCAGATTTCCGGCTTTTGCCCACGCGAACGGATATAGGGGTGGAGTGAGCTCAAGAGCCAGGACTCCTGGAAGTGCCAGGGATGGTGCATAATCCCGATCAGGAAGGTATCACTTTCAGTGAA